TTCCCAACCACCCCCTCCCAGCGCCCAGGTTCTTCACCATTCAAAAAGAGCGAGAGCGGGGTGGTGTCGCTGTGGCCCAGGACCCGTTCAGCACTGACCGCTCACTTGACGTTCCCAAAGGTGGTACTTTCCAGGTCAAGAAGTCCGAGAAGAAATCAACGCAGTTTAAATGGATTTTAAAAAAGGCGATAGGAATTGGACAGTGAGTGGACGCTGTCTGTCTGTTTGTGTGTCTGTCTGTCTGTCTGTTTAAGTTTTTCTCCGTCTCTGTGTCTCTTTGTCTCTGCATCTGTCTCTGTCTCTGTCTGTCTGTCTGTCTGTCTGTCTTTCTCTCTCTCTCTCTCTCTCTCTCTCTCTCTCTCTCTCTCTCTCTCTCTCTCTCTCTCTCTCTGTGTGTGTGTGTGTGTGTGTGTGTGTGTGTGTGTAATGCTTGTGTCTGTGTGTGTGTGTGTGTGTTTAGTCAAAATAATTTTTTAGGGGTGGGAGTCTAGAGGTAAAGAGACTTGTTTTTTAAAAAGGAGGGGTGGGGTGTGGTTAGAGAGACAAAAAGAGAGACAATGAGAAACATGTAAAAAGAAGAGAGAGAGAGAGAGAGAGAGAGAGAGAGAGAGAGAGAGAGAGAGAGAGAGAGAGAGAAAGAGAGAGAGAGAGACAGGAGGGGGAGGGGGAGGGGAGTGGGCAGAGAGATGAAGAGAGTTGCAGAGAAGATGAGAGCCAGAAAGAGAGATAGATAGATAGATAGATAGATAGATAGATAGATAGATAGATAGATAGATAGATAGATAGATAGATAGATAGATAGATAGATAGATACAAAGATAGATAGATAGATAGATAGATAGATAGATAGATAGATAGATAGATAGATAGATAGATAGATAGATAGATAGATAGATAGATAGATAGATTGATAGATAGAAAGGACAGGAAGACAGAATATGTCTGTTAATATGTGTTGGTGGCGGGTTGGGGGATGTGTGGGTGTACCAGGTGTGTTGCTATGATTTTAAAGTATGGGCCACTTGAAATCAAAGCATTTTTAAAACATTTTACACAGTGTGATTAATTATAACTCCGTATCTAAGATATTTTGGGTTTCCTGAGTGCTTGAGGCGTTAAAGAAAGCCCAATTTCAACAAAAGGACAAACGTCTCTTATACATTATGATTATAAATTATTATCATTATGTTAATAGTGCTGATGATTGCTATTATTATTATTATTAATATTATTATTATTATTATTATTATTATTAGTAGTAGTAGTAGTAGTAGTAGTAGTAGTAGTAGTAGTAGTAGTAGTAGTAGTAGTAGTAGTAGTAGTAGTAGTAGTAGTAGTAGTAGTAGTAGTAGTAGTAGTAGTAGTAATAGTAGTAGTATGGTAAGTACAGCATATTTTAACATGTCATTTTAAACCACTCCAAATTAATATTCTGACATGGTGCGTTGTTCAGTTTCAATTGATGATGTTGTTGTTTTTTTGTATCATATTTGTGTAGCAGCTTGTCATTTTATTGATTTTCTCTAATGTATATATGTGAGGCAGCGTGGTGCAATCAGGCTCTCCTCAATCTTTGGCATGTGGAGTTATTGGTATCATCTTAAAGCTTGTTCACTTGTCTTTATTTGGTTGAAAACAATATCTATTTATCTTGAATACAAGTAGAGATATTTGTGAATAAAGGAAGTGGGGGTCATCTGTTTTTAGAGGTAAAATTGGAGAGAAAACAACCGCCAAAGATTGGTTAATTCCTTAGCTTAAGAGTTCGTGGTAACTGAACATTTACATTTTTTGTGCTTTTAATCTACGTTTTTCAGAAAAATCCACTCAGAAATGAGTTCCTTAATGGAAATGAAAGGTGTTGAGCTAAAAAACAAAAATTTGAAAAAAAGTTTCTGCACTTTGATTATTTTGACGAGAGCCTGATTCCACCACGCTGCCTAACATATGGCGAGTTGTCGAGAGAGTGAAAGAGAAAGAAAAAATGAGAGAGAGAGAGAGAGAGAGAGAGAGAGAGAGAGAGAGAGAGAGAGAGAGAGAGAGAGAGAGAGAGAGAGAGAGAAATAAGGAAATTAGGGTGTGTGTGTGTGGCGGGGGGGGGGGGGGGGAGAATTTACCGCCGAGAACATTTTCCTGGACAAAGGGAAAGTGAGAGTTCTCCCCAAACACACGGGGAGGTCCATTTAATAACTATGCCTTATTTCTAAAAAGGTATGTTCTTCTAAAAAGGCAGGCGGGACCCACTCTCTAAATAGAAGAAAGGGCCGAAATCCAGATTTGCCCATTCTAAATTTCCTTTCATTGACAGCCCCGCAAAAATTGGGGAAAAAAAGAGGGCCAAGAAACCGCCCGGTCTCGAGGTGTCCCTCAACAAAAAAGAGAGTGCGCGCGGAAAACTAGAGAAAGAGAGTGAAGGGAGCTGAGTTTTGGATAGGTTAGAACCCTCAAGAGTACCTCCACTTCCACTTATGTGTGGAGCACGCCTAAAAAAAACCGTTCATGAGATAAACATCCGCACAGCCTACAACCCCTAATGTAGTGAGAATGCGCGTTAATTCTTAGCGAGAATACTCCTTTAGAAGCGCGGCAGAGGTGAATTAACTTCCTCCTTCTCCCAGATGACACATTTAACCACGCGAGCCTCTAAAGGTCCCTCGACTGGCAGTATGGCTCATAACGAGAAAGCGAGTGGCGTCTGAAATATAGCGGACCACGCGGCTTTTAACCATTAGCGAGATATCCTACAGAATCCAC